AAAAAAAAAAAAAAAAAAAAAGGAGGAAAAAATATACTGTAGTTAAGGTGGTGAGGGAGGCCCTTACTCTGTTACTGACACATGTGAGTATCTATTGGAGAAATAGTATGATGTCTGGATTTGCTTTAAAACATTCCAACTTCATTCTCATTAAAAAATAAATTTAATTCTAAATATTAGAGAAAAATTAGAAAAGATTGTTCAATGCTTTGAGATGGTAAAACTGAGTGCCAGTTCTCTGGGGCTCCCTGTACTATCTCCTTACATATTTATGTGTGTTTAAAATAATCCACAGTAAAGGTTAAGGACTGATTTACTACTGTTTTCTCAGAATAAAGGTAACAGCAACCAAAACAAAAGGTGCTTTAAAATAACACTGTAATAACCAAGTCAACAGTAATTTACTGCCCTATTTGACATTTACTGAATGCTAACTACATGCAATGCAGCACTAACTGAAAGTAGAAATGAGTATCATTCCTGCTTTCTAAAGCGCCCACTTCATAATCCAGTCAATTGCTCAAACTGCCTTCATGAAGAATGACACATTTTAAACTGTAAGCAATAAAATAAGTAATCCTTATTTAAAATCTGCCAACATGCAAAATACTCAGTTTGAATTCAAACTATTTTTCTGAAGATGTGACTGAATATACTATTTATAAACACGCAATACCTTCCACTGAATTTGTAAATACTCAAGGCCATTTAGAAATTGTGAGCTAAATGGAAGAAGCAGCGAATGTCTTAGCAGAAGAGTACATACTTTTTTCCCAGGTCTTCAACCAAAACTGGTCCATTTTCAGAGTTAACTTCCTGACTGTCTGCATTAGAAAATTTTCCAATGTGATCCAATCTAACCTTTTGAACAATGCCAAAAAGAAAAATCAGTAATCTGTTCCCTTGATTTAATGAGCAGTTTTTACATTTTTACTGTCTTCAATTAAAGAGAAAATAAATGTTTATTGGGAAAAATAAAGGTCATAAAAGTGGACAATAAAATGTTTCCCTAAGCTCCCAGATCGCCATACTTCTACCTAAAAGAAAAACTTCTCTTGATTATCCTTCCGAAATTTTTCTAAATTATTCTTCTAGTTAGTCCAAGGAGAAGTGTAAGTACAATCTACTAAAGCTCCAAATGAGTAAGAGACAACCAACCCTGGCTCTGAATGCAGGGCAATAGTATCATGTACCCTAGGCTTCTAGACCTGGCTTCACTAACAAGCAAATGACTTTAGAAAAGTTACTTGCATCCCTCCATTTCCTCATATGCAAAGTGGAGCTAATAATAGTACCTATCTCAGAGAAGCCCTGGAGATGAAATAAGGTAGGCCTATCACATACATAAAGGACACCAACATGCACAAAGCAGCCACTCTACAAATGAGAGCAACTATTATTACAATTATTACTGTCTTCCCTTTTGTTATGAAAAATGTATACTGTGACTTTTCTCCCTAAAAACAGATGCATCAACTGTTCTCTAACACACAAATGGAAGTTCTCAATTGTAGTAACAAACGAGTAAGTCTTAGGCTTTGTTGCTATAGATAAATTGCACATGTTGAACTGTGGACCTGTCAATCACTGCACTGGATGCACAATACATGAACCACAACTTGAAGCAACCTATTTTTATGCTCCTAGTAGATAAAAGTCCTCAAACTGATATTTCATTCCTCAGTAAAAAGACAGTTTTATTTCCTCTCTTCTAGAGTTTTACAGTAAGACCTCAACTTTTCTTCTTTGAGACGAGATCTCACCTCAAACTAGTAGTGATCCTCCTGCTCAGCCTTGCAAGTTCTGAGATTACCTGAAGTTATTCTGATTGAAAGTTTACTCTGTCTTACACACTTGCGTAAATAAAAGTCACATGAGTTATCCCAATTTTTTTTAAGATTTAAAATAAATTTTACCCAAATTAAATGGTTAAAAAAAAGGAGAAACAAAATATCCTAAAAAGGAAAAAATTAAAACAAGTATCAGCTTTACCATCTACCACGGCATCTGTTTTGCCAAAAGAAATTTCAAACTCAAAGTACGGCACAAGATAAGCAACAGCCTTTTTTCTGTTAAAGGAGGGGAAAAGGAAGGCCTCTAAGCCTTGGGTTAAGTACTTGTCTTTTTTGTTCTCTTTCAAGTTTTTCAAGTCAGTGTAGTAAAAGCTTCTACAACTCCATTTGCAATTAGAACACTTTCTGACAATTCCACGCAGAAGTATTTAAATGAATCATCATCTTCCTCACCTTTCAAATATCCCAGAATTAAAATATGATTAAAAGTTCCTAAACTAAACTGTTACTGATGCCACAGATATAATCCTAGTCAGATACTGTACTTTTCATGCAAATCAATTTATCATAAAGTAAATGTGTCCTCCACCTGTTAAGAAGAAATGTTTGCCAATGGCTGTTTTAAATAAGTTTTAAAATATGAGACTTTTTTTGATGACAATTATTTCTAATGAAAACTATTACAAATTTTTGGGTGTATAGGGGGCATCCTTGTCTTTTTGAAATAGTATTTTCCATAAATACAGAAAAGGAACCTTGAAATTATGTTATCCAGGGTTTCTCCAGCCTTAGCACTATGTACACTTTGAACCAGATAATTCTTGGTTGAGGAGTGGCTCTCCTATGCACTACAGTATGAAGTAGGATCAAAACATGCAGTGAATGTTTAAATGTTTTAAAATTTATTGGAATAAATTTGTCAGGAACATGTTTCCACCACCTTGAACCACTGGTGGTTACATGCATGACTATTCCACCCAGTGGTACTTTCCCATGCCCCTGATGGGACAGTCATGCATGTACCACTGGTAGTTCAAGCCTGCAAGAATAACACGTTCAAATCAGAGCCACCCAGCAACAAGACATATGAAGTACAGTCCCATCATGAACATGTTAATCTCCCTCAAAATCCTCCTCCTTACTTAAAACACACTTATCCCATCATTCTTGCCACTTGCTTAAACAGTTCTGGAGGTCCTCTTTCCTGATGTGAACAAAATTAAGAATGACGCTGTTGAGGGCCATCCAACAGAAAGGCTCATATAAACATTAAAATGTGTCCTCATCCAGCAACTCACTGACTTTACACTATGTGACTTCTGGCTCTTCCCGCAAGTCAAGTCAAAATGATCATTAAAAGTAAACATCTTACATCAGTTCGGGACATCAAGGCAGCAATGACAGCACAACTAAAGACACAAAAGTGAACTTCCAGCACTGCTTCAGAAAGTAGCAAGAGAGATGGAGTAGGTGTGTTTGAAGAGAGGAAGAGGATTTTTGATAAGGATTAACAGCAATGTGTCCTCTACTGTAGGAAAAAAAAATTTTAATTAAACATATTCTCTCAGATGTTTGGCCATTTATTTGGCCTCCACGTACTAGATGTCAGAAGCAACCTACCAGCTTTGATCATTAAAGATGTCTTCAGACACTGGTAAATGTAGCCTAGGGATCAGGGAACAAAAATCACCCATCCTGAGAAACACCAATCTCATCCAACTGACTCCTCTAACAATCAACTCAAGCCAGTGTAGTCAAAGAGGCAAAATTCCTCTTATGGTTCACTCTCCTGCCTCAGCCCACCAGAAAAATATTATATATGTACCAAAAGCTTCCAGAAAGGCTTTCATAAACAAAACTATACTATAAAAACAATTTTACATCAATTTCAGTTAAGTTATTTACCTATTTTTTTTTTTTAAATCCAAGCATCTAAAATGTTACTGTTACTTCTTTGAAGTAAGTGTAATCCCAAAACTGGCCTGTTTTTAAAGTTCTTGTTATGGAATACATACAACTTTTGGTACTCAAATGTGTCAAAAAGCTGATTAACACATGATAAATATATTCTGAAATCCAAATGAACAACATATTCAATTAGAAAAAAGCAAGATTGAAAAAAATCTTTTCTCCTTCTTTACAAATCACTTACTTGGCATTTATCTCCAATTTCATATTGTAAACCAGCAGCAATAGAATAATCACGTTTTTGTTGAGCTGTTAAAAAAAAAAATTAGTATAAAGTTTACTTATTTTCAAGTGCCACAAAATAAATTTAGTGAAAAGCACAGAATTTTAACTCACCTTGCTTAGACTTCAACCAAATTTCATATTCCACATTTCTATACACTGCTGGGTTAAGTGACTTAAGAACCTTTCTAGACAGAGGAAGGATAGTAGAGTTCCCATTTTTCTTCGGCTGAACAAAGAAAGTCAACAAAACAGAGTCAACACAAATTCTTTCACAAACATTCGTTTTTGAGATGTACACAAGAGTAAAATCAAAGGAAGATTAAAACTTCAGAAAGTGATGAACATTTTTTCATATATTTACATTTGTACTTCTTCATCTGAGAAGTGTGTATTCATCTCAGATGCTTATTTTGGAATTGGGTCTTTCAATCTGGGGGTTTGACTTTTTTCAGTTCTTTATATATTCTAGGTATCAGTCTTTTATCTGAGGAACAGTTGGCAAAAACTTTTTCCCTCTCTGTTTGTGGTCTTTTTACTATTAGTTATTTCTTTGGCTGGGCAAAAGCTTTTTAATAAGTTGTGATCCGTTGTTGACTCTTTGTAGTATCTCCCGTGTGACCAGGGTTTTGTTTACAGTCTTTGTCTACACCTACATCTTCAAGAGTTATATCTATTCTCTCTTCCAGCAGATTTAGTGTTTCTGTTTTAGCATTTACATCTCTGATCCATTCTGACTTTAGTTTAGTGTAGGGTAAGAGACATGGGTCTAGTTTTAGGCTTTAGCATGTGGAAAGCCAGTTTTTCTAGCACCATTTATTAAAGAGGCTATCTTTCTTTCAGTGAGGGTGTTTGGCCCCTTTGTCAAACACAACATAGCTGAGTGTGTTTGGAGTTATTTCTGCATCTTTTATTCTGTTCCATTGATCTTCAGGTCAGGGTTTTTTTGCCAGAACCATGCTGTTTTTATCAAAGTAGCTCTGTAACATAATTTCAGGTGAGGGATTGTTTCCGGCCTTGTCTTTGTTGCCCAGAATTGTTTTTGCTATTCTGGGTCATTTCTGGTTCAAAATGAATTTAGGAATGTTTTCTCTAGTTCTGTGAGGTATGCTAATGGTATTTTGATTGGGATTGCATTACATCTGTATTACAATTTTAGGAGTATGGCCATTTTTACTATGCTGGTTATTCCTACCCATGAGCAAGGGATATCTTTCCATTTTGATATCCTCTTAGATCTCCTTTTTCAGAGTACTGCAGTTTTCAATGTAAAGATCTTTTCCCTCCTGTTAGATTGATTCCAAAGTATTTCTTTTTTTTTGATGCTATTGTTTTGGGGGGGGGGTTGTTTTTTTGTTTTTGAGAGCTTGATTCTTTTTTTTTTTCCCCAGTAAGTTTACTGGTACATTTTCGGTATGAAATACAGTTACATTCATCATTGGGATCTTGTACCTTTACATGAGTATCTTGGTTCTTATTTTTTTCCCCTTCC